CTAGTAAAGTGTCAAAAACCAAACAATATTCATAACATTGTAAATATTGCTATTGCAAAATTGTGTACAAAATACTATAAGAGGAAGAAGACAAATAAATATAAGGTGGAAAATCTTTTAAAAAGTAAATGTGACATTTACTGAGTCCTGAAGGTTGAGTAGGCTTTTGCAAACTTGAGAAAAGAATAATATATATGAGAAGAAAATATTAAAATGAGTTCATTATGTCTGATGTTTAGAAATCTTGGGGTAGTGGTGGGGATGAGGATGAAAACTTCCTGGAAGTAATACTGTAGATGGACACAGAAAACTTGATTTTCATTTGTGGGTCATCATGAGCTATAGAAGGTCTTGAAATAGAATAGCAATCTAATCCAAAAATGTGTTTTAGAATGATTACTTTAGAGAGTTTGGAGTGGTAGGAGCTCATGGGTAAAGGATATATTTAAGAAGTTATTCCAACCAACTTGGTGAGAGATTATGAGAACCTGAACCAGGATAGTAACAAAGCAACTAAAAAGAGGTGGTTGAATGCGAGAGACATTTAGAATACACGATTGATGTGACTTCATGTATCAGCCAACTTTGACTAGCATAAGACTCAGTACAAAGAACCTCACAATCTCAGTGGCTCACAGGAACAAAGCTTAATGAATGGTCCACTGTGTGTTACTTGTGGGTCAGCTGCCATTCCAACACTGTGGCTCTGCTCTTGCATACAAGTGGATTCAGGTCTGCTCCCATGAGTAGTCTCTTTATTCTGAAACTTGTGTCTGCTTCAAGTTATGGAATAAAACCTGAAAGGACAACTACTATCTGGTATGTGCAGGGAAGAAACAAAGGAAGACATATCATGTAAACATATTTAGTTTTAACTAGGATATAACTATCCACTCACATTTTATTCGTCAAATATGGTCACATTGTTGCTTCCAAAGTCTACAGTGTGGTGAAGTATCAGAAATACACTCTGGCTAAAGGTTAGCATAGCCAAGAGTGAGAGAGAACAAGTAGTCAACAAACAATATATACTATTGTCTTGAGCTTTCCAGGTGGCACAGTGGTAAATAATCTGCTTGCCAATGCAGGAGATGCAAAAGACACAGGTCCAATCCCTGGGTCAGGAAGATCCCTTGGAGAAGAAAATGGCAACCCACTCCACTATACTTGCCTGGAAAATTTCATGGACAGAGGAGCCTGGCTGGTTATAGTCCATGGGGTCACACATGCACACTTGGAAATGAGCTACGTGAGAGTGAGCTTATAGGGCAGTCACAGGTTAACCGTTTTAGGAAAAAGAAGATGTATTAATTTCAAATATTTAAGAAAGGTTTTTGTGAAGACCTAGATGAAATCAATAATAAAAATAACTTGCTTTTCCCATTTTTCTCTTTTGTTCTTTTTGTAAAATTTGAAGAGCATGCCTTAAGTGAGTGAGTTGCTCACGGTAACAACCTCTTGTATAAGATCTTGTCCTGTTTATCAGAGCAGATGGTTCTGTTGGGGTGATGAAGTCTTTATGGCTGCTAAGTTTCCAGGTTCACACTCAAATACATGGCTAACAAAGCCATAATAGTGAGAGATTTGTGATTAAAAAAAAAATATTTTAGCTATCATGTAATTTTCTTCAAGTCCATGTGACTACATGATAAAGAAAACTAGAGGGCTAGAGTCCACCATATCAAACCATGTCACTGTGAGACGGGCATAACTAGCGCCATGACAGGCGCCCTGAACTATAAGTAAGCCTAAGTTTCAGTTTCTCCTGAGGGTGGGGTAATTATCTGCCCTCAACAGGCCACCAGAGACCAGCCAATCAGCACGCGCCCAGTAAACCTCTGGGAGAGTCCCCTGCGCGCGAAAATTTTAAAGTATGTTTGACCAATGAAATTGCTTCGCAAACATGTAACCAATCCGCTTGCGATAACTACCCACTGCTTATGTTTGAAATCGAGCACCCTATAAATGTGTGTGGAAACTGGGGCTGAGGGCTCTCTGACTCTGCACCACTGCGTTGGTTGCGGCAGGGGCCCTGAGTCAGCAATAAATTCCCTTCCTTTGCGTGTTGCATTGTCGTGGAGGTCTTCTCTCTTCCCGCTCGGAGATTCGGACATCAGGCAAGTCACCTTATACTTGAAATTCAGAAGTGAAATCTTTCCCTCCACAATACTCAGCAACCGAAATCATCTTGGCTGCTGACTTACAGCTATTCAAAATGGTCCAGAATCTTGCTGAAAAGCCATATACTTTGAATCTTTATTTTCTTTCCATGGGTGTCACAGCAGTCTCCAAATGAGCCAGACTGGACTCATTTTTCCATCTACTATCTTTTGAACACTGTCCTATGGCTCCTTTCTTTCTTGTAACTACCCCAGTATACAAGTAATAAAACTAAGATTAAAATATTTATTAACTTCTTTTTGCTATAAATTTATTGAGTTGGAATATGCATACACCTACCCTCTTAAATGCCTTTATATTGCTTTACTTATCAGGGATTATTTCTACTTTCCAGGTTATGATTATAATTGAATTACATACATACTCAAATAGTTTTGCATAATACATGCTGCATAGTACATAGAATACCAGAGAAACACCAAGAAAAAGTTGAAGAGGGTAGACAGGGTAGGAAATTAGAAAGTGACTTGAGCTGTGCATAGTAAATATTTCTATGAGATGAAACTCACAGACTGAGTTTTCTTTTTGCCTTTTACTTTCTATATGAAAATTAACTTTTACAAAGTTAATCGACTTTACTTTTTTAAAGCTTTTTAGTTTATATTCCCCTAGAGTAGGAAATGGCAAACCACTCCACTATGCTTGCCTGGAAAATTCCATGGACAGAGGAGCCTGCAAGGCTACAGTCCATGGGGTCACAAAGAGTCAGCAAGACTGGGTGACACATACAGCCAATCAACAATGTTGTGATAGTTTCAGGTGGACAGTAAAGGGACTCAGCCATACACATACACGTACTCATTCTCCCCCAAACGTCCCTCCCATGTAACATTGAGCAGAGTTCCCTGTGCTATACAGTAGGACTTTGTTGGTTATCCATTTAAAATATAGCAGTGTGTACATGTTGATCCCTAACTCCCTAACTTTTCTCCTCATTCTTCCACCCTGGCAACCATATGTTCATTCTCTAAGTCTGTGGGTATGTTTCTGTTTTGTAAATAAGTTTATTTGTATCATTTCTGTTTAGATTCTGTATATAAGGGATGTCACACAATGTTTCTCCTTTTCTGTCTGATTTGCTTATCTCAGTATGATAATCTCTAGGTCCATCCATGTCGCTACCAATGGCATTTATTTCATTCCCTTTAAAGGCTGGGTAATACTCCATTGTATACCTGTATCATATCTTCTTTATCCATTCTTCTGTCAATGGGTATTTAGATTGCTTCCATGTCTTGACTATTGTGAATAATGCAGTGAACTTTGGAGTGCATGTATCTTTTTGGACCATGTTTTTTCCTCTGGGTATGTGCCCAGGAGAAGGATTGCTGGATTATATGGGAACTCTATTTTTAGTTTTTTGAGGAATTTCCATACTGTTTTCCACAGTGACTTCACCAATTTACATTCCCGCCAACAGTGTAGAAGAGTTCCCTTTTCTTCACATCTTCTCCAGTGTTTATTGTTTGTAGATTTTTTTGATGATGGCCATTCTGACTGGTGTGAAGTGATACCTCACTTGATTTGCATTTTTCTAGTAATTAGCAGTGTTGAGCATCTTTACATGTGCCTGTTGGCTATCTGCATGTCTTCCTTGGAGGAATTTCTATTTAGGTCATATGCCCATTTTCCCACTGGGTTGTTTGCTGTTTTGTTATTGAGTCATATAAGCTGCTAGTATATCTTGGAAATTAAGCCCTTGTCCATCACAACATTTGCAAATATTTTCTCCTAGTCTGTAGCTTGGTTCTTCGTACTGTTTATGAATTCTTTTGCTGTACAAAAGCTTGTAAGTTTTATTAGGTCCCATTTGTTTGTTTTTGCTTTTATTTCTATTGCCTTGGGAGACTGACCTGAAAAAACATTGGTGAGATTTATGTCAGAGAATGTTTGCCTATGTTTTCTTCTAGGAGTTTTATAGTATTGTGTCTTATATTTAAGTATTTAAGCCACTTTAAGTTTATTTTTGTGTGTGGTGTGTGAGAGTATGTTCTAACAGCATTGATTTACATGCAGTTCTCCAACTTTCCCAATACCATTTGCTGAAGAGTGTCTATGTCATAATATGTAAACTAGATTTCAGAGTAATACATTTCAGAGATGAGCATGGTTTGACCAAAGAAGTAGCAGTGAAAATGGCAGTGGTGGTTCAATTTGGCATTAATTTTTAAGATACGGCCAACTGGGTTTCTTTCTGAGTTAGATGTAAGCAGTGAGAAAACAATAAGAGTCAAAGATCACTAAAGTTACAGCAAGAGATGTGGACAGCATGGAGGTGCTCTCAGCTGTAAACGAGAGCTGGGGAAGGAGCGTGTTGGAGGACAGCTCAGAAGGTGAACGATCAGAAGGTTAGTGCTGCTCACATTGAACTGGGGCTTCCCAGTGGTAAAGAACCCGCCTGCCAAGCAGGAGATATGGGTTTTATCCCTGGGTCAGGAAAATCTCCTGGAGAAGGAAATGGCAACCCACTGCAGTATTCTTGCCTGGGAAATCTCATGGACACAGGAACCTGGAGGACTGCCATCCATGGAGTTGTAAAAAGTTGGACATGACTTAGTGACTAAGCAACAACAGCAACACATTAAATTAGAATCCTGACCCTTCAGAATGCTACATCACCACGAAAAAGGAGACTATTCATTCAAATCTATTCCAGGTCTGGTCTTCCATAGATGTAAAACAAGGGAGTCATTGAAAATCTTGTTTCTCCTCGGGATCAAGCACTCCCCAGGATTCTGCTTCTCCTTCTGCTCACTTTGATCAGATCAGAGACCTCTCTAAAACCAGGTCAGGCTGAGACCCTGAGTGTTTTAAGCTACAATGTCTTAGCAGGTTTTTGTTTAGCTCCCCTTGCAGACTCAGGCACTGTGTCACACAGAGCACAGAAGTACTTGGCAGAGTCACTCCAATGGGCTGAAGCTTTCATCAGGTAAAAGGACTTTTCATCCTTCTTGCATTCAGCCTCGAAGCCTTTGATGCCTTTAACCCGGGTGGGTCCTGACAAATACTTCAGTAGAAACTGGAGGCCTTGGCTGGGGTACTGGACATACCAGAAGAGATAAATAGATCCACCATAAGAATAGTTGCATCTCAGCTCCAGACGGTTTCCTTCAGAGACGCTGATGTGACCGTCAGGCTGGGTCACTAACTGGGCTCCAGTTCCTCCTGCAACATCAATGCAGCATCAGTGAATCCAGGACACACCTATCTATAACGAGACAGTGTTTCTATTCAGATACCCTCAGAACAAAATGGCTTCTATATAGGCAGCAGCATGGAATATAATGTTACTTACTTGCTGTGAAGAGCATTCCAAGTAGCAGAAGAGTCACTGAGAGCATGGCTACGCAGGGAGGAAGATCACCCTTGAGGAGCAGGAAGGAATGTGCCAGGGTGTGCTGAGTCCTTGTAACAGGGAAAATCTGAGAGTTAAAGAGATCCCTGTATAGGCAATCCTAGTTACTACCAGTAAGAAATGCTTCCTTAAGAATGACTGCTCCTAAAAAAAAAAAAAAAAGAATGACTGCTCCTGACGCTGAGCCTGTTCAAATATGCACTTCAATGAGCTGTAAGATAAAGAAGCTCATAGGAGTGAGACAAACATTTACAGTTTATGCAACATCACCCTCTGCAGGTCAACAAAAGAAACAAATTGAGTCTTCAGGATTTTCTGCCCCATCTCCTTTCTGCTCCTATTTAGGCTTGAATTACTTAGCATTTTAAACTGATGAGAATGTTTCAGAGGTTTGCTTACTAAGAGGCTCTTTTAATACTATGAATTAAATAGTTATTGTGATTATATAATCACAATATATATAATATAATATATTTATATTATTATATTATTATAATAATAAAATATAATAAATATAAAATATAAATATTTAATAAATAAAACTTATAAAATTTTATAAATATATAAAATACATTTTATATATTTATAAAAATAATATAAATATAATAATAAAATATAATAAAACTATTATAATATAATAGTTTATGTGATTATATAATCACATTATCACATAAAATAAATTATCCTTATTTTTATAGATGAGAAAATTGAAGCAAGGAAGGAAGGATGTAATTTGTTCAAGATTACAGTAAGTGATCTGGAATTTGTCCCATTGGTATGATTCAAGAATCTGTATCATTGGCCACTGACAATTCAGCACTATGGCCATTAGTCTAGATAAATCAAGTCCTTTAGAAGTTAAATGATTTGTCCAAGGATATATAAGGATTAGAACCTAATTCAATTAGACTCCACTATGTTGTCATCTACTGACAACTACTGACAATATTACTCTTTAGATTAAATGTAATTTCACCAAGACACACAGGCAGAGCAAACTTCACAAGAGAATAGAAACTAAAGAAAATCTCCAAGGAACTCAAACACTGATGTGATGTCCAGTAGAAAAAACTACCAGAGAAACCTCAAAGGTAGTCCAGAGAGGTACATGGCAAATCAGAATTGACTGGTGTCCTGAAAGAGAAGGAAAGTGGAGTTTCAAAGAGGAAGGACTGTCCATCAGAGCAGATGCTAAAAAATGTCTACCTAGTGAGATGATGACTAAAAAGTGTCTGTTGACTTTTAGCAGCACAAAGATCATGATTTGAGTCTTTCAGCAGAAACTCAACTGTAGTAGAGACAAGACAAAGGAGAAAAATTTTGGAATACAGAAATCTCCTTCCAGAGGCTGAACTGTGACGGGGAGAAAAGATATGGTTCTAACTAGACAAGGATGTTGAAGTGGTAATCGTAGGGGTTTTAAAGGTTGAGATATATTTACATGTTTTTGGAAATGTTCTATGAACAATGGATCAAACTTCTGAAGAGACAGCCAGGATGGAATATGGACCACAGGTAGGAGAATTAATTTGTGAGGAGAAACAGTTATTTCCAATTTTATTGGAATGAAGGAGGAAAGAATTGGTTTGGATTTCAGTATTATTTCAGGGTATGAAGGCATAAAGTTGACACATCTATTAATTTAATGATTTTTTTTCTTCTTGTAGGTAGAAATTAAGTACCTTCCAAGATAATTAATAGAAGAGATCCTGGGTTAAGAAATCTGATGAGTGTGAGAAGTTTTGAAAAAGTCACTGTAGGAATTGACAATGAGAAATGATTACAGAGAAAAAGAATACTTTCTTGGAAGCACTGTGGGTCTAGTTAGTGTTGGAGGTGATCACAATTTCAGTGACACCAGCCTGCCCATCTATGTGATTTTCTTGAACTCTGCTTTATCAAAGTATATAAGAAAGTAGATTTTTTAAATTTGATCTTTATAGTGACTGAACATTATTCCATGGTATCAGTGTAATATAGTGTTTTTAATCATTACCCCAATGGGGTACATAAGGCAGATATTAGTCCATGATTAGAAATTAATAAGATCATTGATATGACATAGAATTAAATCAAAACAATGAAGTTAGTGACTAAAGACTGATTGAAGGAGGGCTGTAAGTTTAGATATTGTAGAAAGATAAATAAAAGATCGGAAACTTCTGAGCAATAAGATAACAATAAAGACATCTGGGGACTAAATGATCATAAAGAGTCAAAGAACAAATGCAGCAGAAGTATATGAGTGTAAGAATCTGAGGATGCAAGGTTGAGACAGGATGTAAGATTTCAGAGGAGGAGCGGCATCTACCTGGAGAAATATCATCACATCTTTCTGGAGTGTGGCCATGGGAGTTTGTGACGAGAGGGATCCTAATTGATAGACTTCAAAGTTGATGAGTTCAGGTTTCTCTCTGAATTTAAGTCAAGGAGTGTTTTAGGTTACAGTAGAATCTCATGTGTGTACATCTTCAATATATAAGGGAGAGTGAGGCGGCGTCGCACTGAATGATTCTCACAAACACACGGGATCGTAAGAGACAGTGCGGGGAGGCTCGTGGAAGAGCAGCTCTGAGGAAACGCAGGGCGCGCGGTCAGGTGATCTTTCACAGAGAGCAGGAAAGCCAGACGGAGGCCCGCACTCTGGGGCTAAGGAAGCAACCTCCTGGAGGTCTGGAGGAAGTCACACCAGAGTCCTAAAGAAAGGCATTTGAAGAAAGGCAGGTTTGTTTATCATGCAGAACAGCATCCTTCAATGCTGACGTGTCAACCAGAACATCGAACTTAAAGGCAGGGGAGAGCAAGCGAGGAGGAGGGAGTGAGTGAGAGTCAATTCCAGGAGACGTTTCTGAGCAAAGAGTGAAACATGGTTCCCACAGAGAGTGTCTGATGTTTATAAAGATGAGAGTGATGAAAGGAATAGGGGAAAGTAGGGGTAAAAGGCAAAGTCTCAAAAGGTCAAAGACGAGTCCATTTTTGGGGTGTGTGGTAGTGACAAGCATGCTGTTCTCATCTCTAAATCTGGAGTGTTTTAGATGAGGGAGGACCAGAAGTAACCACAAGTGAAAGAGCTGTATTACAGTCAGGTTTCAGTTAAGATATGTGGAAGGAATTTTTATAGGGGCTACTGAATGTTTGTTTTCAATAGAATGAGGATTTAGAGGGCAAAGTAGAAAGCAGTATGGGATGGTAAGAGGTAGTTAGGTCAGTGTAGAAAATTAAACAGGTCAGACTCCTTGGTGAATCATTCCTCTCTGCAAGGAGTCAATCGGGTAGAATCCAATGTACCTTCAAATGTCCTAGTACAGAGGAATGTGTACCTCTGGCCACAACGAGATCAACTGGTGCTCAAGTCTCTGAGAAGATGTCATAAATAATTGGCTATGATTTATTTTGTCTATCCCAATGGATTATTTTCAGAAGTTTTCTTTTCTTTGTGTTCAGGAAATTGTCTTTTCTATGTGCCATATGTGATGTGTATACACTTGTTACTTGTTTCTTGTAACCCTCTTACATGTTATCTACTTCGGGGGGCAAGTCAATTTGAAATCACTTAGTATGTTGCACATTTCATGCAATTTTGATAGAATGAATTAGATATTCTTCTAAGTTAGAATCAATATCTCAGACGTGCCTAACAGATGGAGTTTGTGAAACATTAGAATCCTCAATGTGGCATCGTTCACATCGTATTCTTGGATATTCAAAAAGACTGAGAAATTTGTCCTGGTGTGTAGGATGTGTGTGGAAATGTAAATGGCTATGTTTATCATACTTTGGAAATTGTTTTGATTCTGTGAGTGAAATCTGAGGTAACAGATACTATACTCAAGTCTTGGAAAGTACAGTGAGAGGTGCTCTAGCACTTTCCAAAGCTCAGCATATCCGTTCAGGACACTTTCATTCACTTTTTCTTTCATTTCCTCCTCTTCCCAGCTTTTGAGCTCGCTTGTTTATTTCCTCATTTTGCTTTTCCTAAAACATATCTTTCTGTCTGTTTTATTTATTGAAGTGTTCTCAATAATTAGCATAGTACCTGACGAATACTAGCTGCTCAATAAACGTTTATTGGATAAAGAAATGTTCTTGGCTGAATATTTTACTGACAATTGCTAGGGATGCAATAAAATATAGAAGATATGAGTTAGATCTTCTATAAAAATAGAAGAAAAAGACAAAGGACATCACATGGCATCTCATAATGAAGACAAGAATGTATTCCAAAATCCTTATTCATTCATGAACTCATTAAATTTTTCCTTCCTATTTACCTTTTTTCTTTCCTTCTTCCCACCCTCTCTCTTTTCCTTCCTTCCTCTTTCTATTCCCCATTCCTATCATTATTAAATGTTAAATTGGTCCCCAACTATTTTGTTAGGCTCTTCCTGTGAACTTCAGCGCATTCCAATACACACTTCTCTTTATCTCTGACATTCTTCATAGACTGTGATAAATGGCACAGATTTCTGCTTGTTTTGTTAAAGTGTTTAATTATTGTTTGTCCTAAGGTTGACACCAGATAGTTTGAAAGATGATGATTGCATTTAGCTAGATAGAGTCCTCTGGAAAGATGCAAGGAATTCTCCTAACTTGGTGAAAAAGAATAACAAAAAAATATTCATTTAGACATCAGTCGATACTCACAGTTAACGTGTTATCACAACTACAAGTCAATGAAAATGTAAAAATGCACATGGTGATTCAGCAATGTGCCCAAGGAAGAACAGTGCTTGTCAATCCTAAAGTAGTGAATCAATTTGATTAATAAAAAGCCTCTTCTTATATTGGAGCTTCCCAGGTGGCACTAGTGGTAAAGAACCTGCCTGTCAGTGCAACAGATATAAAAGACACGGGTTCAATCCCAGGGTTGGGAAGATCCCCTGGAGTAGGGCAAGGCAACCCACTCCAGTATTCTTGCCTAGAATCCATGGACAGAGGAGACAGTCAGGATATGGTCCAGAGGATCGAAAAGAGTCGGACATGACT